AGTCAGAGTGCTTGGATAAGTGGCGACGGGCACTTCCGAAATCTGACTTATTCTTACACCGTGGTGTAGCTAAAAAAAACAGTAGGTAGTTTGTACCTATTTGGCACCTTCTTTAAGTTGTGGGAAACTTTGTGCATATCTGGCATGGCTGGTGGTCTTTTATCTACCGGTGGCTTGCCTTTCAATTTCAGAAGGAGGCTTTTCACTACCGCTATCATAACACAACAAGGGTATCTGGCTAATAATATAGCTAGTCCACTTGGTGGTGAAAACTTTCCTGCATTTTGTCAGCACAGGACCGCATCAATGCGGATTCAAGGTACATTCATGCTGTGGCCCTCTTAACAAGTTTCGTGTGTGCTGAGTTGTAGAGTAAAAGTTCTATACGAGAGCAAGGGCAGCAGGCCCAGTAAATGTGTGGCTCTGATAGCGGGAAAGTTGAATCTTAAAACTGCAATTGGTGATATAAAGGCAGCTCATGAGTAAAGGAAAGCCATTTACCATGTTGTCGGAACAGAACAAGAACATCGTCCACTGCATCAGTGGTTGTTTCAGAAGGGTTAAATTATAGGATCACTAAAAAATCTTCAACGTATCTAAAAATGTGTTGCACTAGGGCATCGCCAATAATCAAAGCTAACTCGTGAGTAACGGCTCAAAACAACTGCCAGAAAACTGGCACAACACATGACCCTATGCAGATACCTTGACGCTAGATATAGTACTAAGTCTTAACAAAGAAAGGTTGAGTAAAGATAAAAATTGAACGAAGTAATGAAGCTATCAGCTGTGATGCCTGTGCTACTCTGAAAAACAAGTACTCCATTATGTTCAATACATGATTGAACTATTGGGAGTAGCTCGGCATATGGAACGTAATAGAACAAGTCTTCAACGTCTACCGAGAAAGTCGTGAAGATAATGCAGCATGAGATTTCGTGACATATGCCTAGAAGGCTTCACCTTCTGGGTAGATGTTGAAGATTTGTTCATTTGCACAATCAGTTCAAGTTCAGCTATGCACCCACTAGTTTGACAGCAGACGTTACTAGAGAAGCTAAATTCAGCAGTGCTACTCTTGCTGTGTTATGGTAGCGGTAGCGGAAACCCTCCTTCAGAAATTGAAGGGCAAAGTGCCAGTAGATAGAAGACCACAGGTCATGCGAAGTATGCACAAAGTTTCTCACAACTTAAGGATGGTGGCAAACAGGTTTAAAGTACCTATTGTTTTTTCAGCCCCATGGAAGCTGACCGGCCTGTTTTCATGCATTGCAGTGTCGCAAAAGCTGACATTTTCTGGTAAAAAGCATGTAAGGCGGTTTGTAGCTTGCACGGTGCGCATGGTTTATGAAATTCGACTTACATGCAGCGAACTTTATATTGGCGAGACCGGACACTGCATTATTAAGAGGGCAAGGGAGTATGAGCTTTTGATTAAAAATAAGAATCGATGCACATTAACCCATGCACTGTGAATCCTGTCTGTGTGAGCCGCACCTTACAATTATGTGCATGCTTGGAAGGAGAAGAAACGCTGGCACATGAACTTTTTGATATTGTCACGGGGTCCCGGCGTCGAAGAAGGGAGCAGACAGTCCTTTAAAGCATAAACAATTTATTCGGCCGAACCTGAGGCCTTGCAAAAGAAAAGTAAGATTACAGTGAGACACTGGTACTAACAGCGGCTACCAAAGCGTCAGCCGTCGTTCAACTCGCAAGCGGCGAAGCGCATCGGCATTTATATACTTGCCATCGAACGTTTTAGCATTATCGTTAGCAGTGATGTAGGTTCCAGAAGAATCTGTAATGTTTGCAGAGTGGGCGTAATCTTAATGAAATGATCTACTGCAGTCCCAAAGCCTCCTGAACACTGCAGGCGCGGTTTGTACTGAGAATCACGTACAGTGTAACAGGGCGATAACAAAGCTTGAGAAAAAAAACGTGTCATTGCCCCCCTCTGAAAAAGGCATCGTGCCAATGCTGTAACAGAAGATGAAAGTACTGCAATGCAAGAAAGTACAAGCATTAAATTACGATATAGCAATGATACAACAAAATACACTGTTTCAGTTTGTTGACAGACATGAAACGGCGTAAGGCACGCGACATGGACAACTTTAGGTCACGATCGGCGTCGTTGAGAGTTCGTGATGCCGTCGGAGACAACCTCGTGATCAAGTGGAACAAGACGTCAAACCACCCTGTACAGTACGAACTACCATCGCAGACGCTTTTCACTGAGGCCGCGTCGACGTATTGGCATTCAGCATCCAAACACGTTCACCGAGCTGTTATTCCACAAAGCGTTGTCGAAGATTGTAACGGCGTCTGTCAGTCTGTCGGTTCTTGATACGGAGGCGGGCGAGTTGTCGGGCTTCTTCAGCGTGCTGAAGGTGCTCACTCACAACGAGGTTTTCTTCGTTGCTGGGGTCCTTCCATAGACTAAATTATAGGGCGTCATCTGCGTTGTTTCTTGTACGGCGGTGTTGTATCTGAAGGTTGCGTACGGAAAGATGGCATCCCACATCTTGTGTTCGACGTCGACGTACATGGCCAGCATGTCGGCGATGGTCTTTTTAGGTGGTCGGTGAGGCCATCGATATGTTGTCCAGCAGTGGCTTGTCTGGTTGTATGCCAAAACCGCTTGGGTTAGCTCAGCCGTAAATGCGGCACCTCTGTCGGTGATGAGAACCTCCGGGGCGCCATGACGCAGGACAACGTTTTCGACGAAAAATTTGGCTACCTCATATGCACTACCCTTCTGCAAGGCCTTCGTCTTGGCGTAGCAGGTAAGGTAGTCTGTAGCTATGACTATCCAGTTGTTTCCGACAAGCGACGTTGGGAACGGCTCAAGTAAATCCATACCGATTTGCTGGAATGGACGGCGAGCTGGTTTGATGGGCTGCTGAAGTCCTGCTGGCCTTCTCGACGGTGTCTTGCGTCGCTGGCAATTCTCGCATGTTTTCACGTAATGTGCGACGTCGGCGACAAAGCTAGTAGTATTTCTCTAGTATTCTCGCGAGTGTGTGGTAAAAACCAAGGTGGCTAACTGTTGAAAGGTCGTGCAGGGTCTGCATAATTTCTGGTCTCATTGCCAAGGCCACAATGATAAGGTAGCTGGCTCTGGCCGGATAAAAGTTCTTCTTTACAAGGATGTCGTTCTTCAAGAAAAATGACGCCAATCCTCGCTTTAAGATTTTTGGGAAGACACAGGGTCGGCCCTCAGGGTATTCCACTAGCCCTTTCAGTTCCTGGTCACCTCGCTATGGCGTCAGCGCTTGTGATTCCCAAGAAGTATTTGTCATCCTGGTCCCACGGTGGTGGATCGACGGGGGCACGAGACAGGCAGACCACATTGAAGTGTTTGCTTCGAGACTTGTACATAACTGTAATGTCGAATTCTGGAAGTCTTAAACTCCACCGTGGGTCCTTCAAGCAGCTAGCCAACACAAGGTGTGGCGGTCGCTCACAATTTTGAAAGGCCTGCCGTAGAGATAAGGGCAAAATTTCTACGCTGCCCAGATGATGGCGAGGCACTCCTTTTCTGTTGTGGAATAGTTGGCTTCGACCTTGCATAGACACTGCCTAGCATAACTGATAACCGTTTCCAGGCTGTTGGTCTTTTGAACAAGGATAGCGTCGTGTCCTACGCTGCTTGCGTCGGTGTGTACTTCTGCTTCAGCATATCAGCCAAAAGGCCCAAGTAGCGGCAATGTCTGCAGGCATCGTTTTAGCTTCTGAAATGCTTAAATTTGTGCCATTTCCTGTTTGAAATCGTCTGTTTTTGTGAGTTGCGTTAGTGGCTCGGCGATCCGCAAAAAGTCCTTGACAGAGCGTCTGTAACAGACGCACGAGCCGAGAAATCGGTGCATGGCCTTCTTGTCTGTGGGTGGCGGGCAGGAGGCGAAGGCAGCTGTTTTCTGCGGGTCTGGGCGCACTCCAGTCTTACTGATCATGTGGCCCGAAAACAGGAGCTCCTTGTACGCGAAGCGGCATTTTTCTGGCTTTGGGGCGAGTCCAGAGCTCCTGATTGCTTGAAGTACGAATTCGAAACGCTGGAGGTGTTCGTCGAAGCTCGAAAAAAACATGACGACGTCATCCAAATAAACAAGGCAAGTTTGCCACTTCAAGCCAGCCAGGACTGTATCCATGACTCGTTGGAAAGTTGTAGGTGCCGAGCAGAGACCAAAGGGCATGACCTTGAACTCGAACAAGCCGTCAGGTGTTATGAAGGCTGTCTTTCTTATATAATAAATAAATCATTAATAATAGCATTATTAAATGAGATGTGTATATCAGTGACACGTCTGTTGCCCTGCATAAATCTGAAGTGCAATTTTTGATGTTTTGCTTCCATGCTGTCTTAACTGTAGGATTGCTCGCCCATGTCCTGTGTAACTGTAACTACGCACATGTATTGATTTGTATGTGGGGTTTAACGTCCCAAAACCATTATATGATTATGAGAGACGCCGTAGTGGAGGGCTCTGGAAATTTCGACCACCTAGGGTTCTTTAACGTGCACCCAAATCTGAGCACACGGGCCTACAGCATTTCCGCCTCCGTCGGAAATGCAGCCGCCGCAGCCGGGACTCGATCCCGCGACCTGCGGGTCATCAGCCGAGTACCTTAGCCACTAGACCACCGCGGCGGGGCAACTACGCACATGTATGCATGCATATAAAAATAGGGCCTTCATTCAAACAAAGCTGGTTGCAAGTTGATGCCCTATCCTTTTTTTCCTCTATGGGGGTTGCGTCCTTCACATTTCGGAAAGAAACAGTGCGAAGAACAAGAAATCAGACATAGAAGGGCACATACAAAGTAGAGTGCATTTAGTTTGTTTTTTTGCGCTGTTTCCTTGCAATATGTTGTACCATTGCGCCCAAGCAGCCACTTTGGCTTAGCATTTCTTCATGAAAGGCATTGGTGAAACATAATGATGGTCAATATTAGCTATGTTTGTTCCTCAAATAATGCCCTTTTAATTCTTCCAACAGGTGGCAGGTCTGCTACTCTTCTTCTATTGGGACCCACGGCTAGGCCTAGTGTATGGTGCTCTATGTCTGCTGCAGCTGCTGGTGCTGCCTGAGCCAGCAGCTTATGGTGGGCCTGACCCTGTTTTATACTTGGATGCAGAGAGCTTCCGTGAGCAAGTGCAGTGCGGTGACCGGCGAGTCACCTGGCTTGTCGCCTTCTACGCACTGTGGAGCCCAACTTGTGTTCAGATGGCACCAGCATTTGCACAGCTGGCAACGCGCTATGCGCTCGACAACCTGCGTTTTGCCAAGCTGGACGTGACTCGCTTCCCAGACTTGGCGCACGAGCACCACATCAGCACGGCGGCCCTGAGCCGCCAGCTTCCCACGGTGCTGCTCTTCCGAGCCGGCCGCTTGGTGGCACGGCGACCAGATGCCCAATGTGACAAGCTGGTTCCGTTTGCTTTCACCGAGGAAAACATGGCAGCTGCCTTCGACCTCAACAATCTGCATCAGGAATGCCGCCAGAACCCAATCCGCAAGAAAGTGGCAGGCAAGCAGTCCTGAGTTCTCAAAGTGGGCCTGTAAGCCATTGGCTGATTACATTGACCTTTGGTCCAGCTTAGAACATCCACAGTCACACTATGAACGCTGTGTGCCATACACATGATTAATAACTGCTCGTCTGCTTTGTATACGAGAGAATGAATGTAAGCAACTAGTCAGTAGGTAGCAAGTTGGTGTTTCAATAGTTTCAGATGCTAGGTGTGAGACCATGTCAGCTACTGCTTCCAGTATTGTTTTTGGGGTGATTTGCAATGTACAAGATCGCATATTGGCATATGTACTTGCTGTTTGAGATGAGCTTCATTTGGTACAACTAATTGCTACATTATCAGCCATCCAGAGGTCCACATATGTAGGAGGCACTTCATTCGTGTTCATATTAAATGACTGGGTATGCAAACATGTGCACAGAAGTCAAGGCACCACAGGTGTCTGTGATTTTTGACTTCTTTCCTGTGTGCACAACTCATCTTTTACAATGCATAGTACTTACAGATTAGCTCGGCTCTCTGTTGTTCTATGATTAATGTTATAGCATAGATTACTGCTCTAGGCTGCAGTCTACCTAAAAACTATGGCATGACAAGTTCGCTGATTTGTACATTCAGTTGAAACCATGGAATATCAAGCTAAGTTTGTTGGACAATAATTTGTTGTTTCCAGAACTTTTTCTAAATAGAAGGAGCTTCTTATCATTGCAAATATGTGTATTGAGGTTTCTATATATCAGTGGATGGTAAATACAGTTAAGGAAGCCAGCAAGTTAGTTGGAGTGACATATTGTAAAGAGTTCACAGGGATCAAGGGGAATCAACTTGCCGAAAATTGGGTAAATTAGAGATTACTCTTGTCCTGCAGTAGACCCAAGTAGGCTGAGAATGATAGCTATTTGTTCTAAAATTTCAGAAGTGCAGGGGTATTTTAATTACCACTGTGTAGCCAGCTCTTGAAAAACACGTCCATCACAGCTGGCTCTCTTGCGAAGAAGCGCGCAATCTCTTTTTCTTTCAGAGCGAAAGCTGTTCTTGCCCTTGACCCACTACGTGTAGGTGGCATTATCGCCCTTCAGAAAAAAGTAAAAAAAATACAAAAAGCAAAAGAGAAAAAATAACAAGACGTAGCGCGGCCCCGACGCTATAGCATAGGCACGTAAAGGAAAAGGAGATAAAAAACCCCCGATAAAGGCAGAGTAGAGAATTAAGAGCGTGGCAATAAGAAAAAAAGTCAATGAAGGAACAGGCCAATTCACAAAAAAGAAAACACAGATGGTTTCATGCTCGCAATTTAAACTGGGTCCGGGCTCGGTCGCGTTCTGGTCTATGCCTGCATTGTCGAGTCCGGGACCGCTTCATAGTTCACGTCACTAATGCAGCATAGCACTTCGTACGGCCCAAAATAGTAGCTCAGTGACTTTTCACTGAGGCCTCAGCGGCTAACGGGCATTCATTCCTAAACTTGGTCTACGAGCTTGTAGACCACTTCCCTGTGGCAGGTATTATAGCATCTGCCTGCTGCTGGCCGATGTCCAGTCATGCGAGCTGTCGAGCTTCCTTGGCATGCTCTGCGAATTTCTCAGCGTCAGTTGCCAACTTGTCATCGTTTTAATACGATAGCATAGAGTGCAGCATGCTTTGCACTTCGCGGCCATAGTGAATCCGAAATGGCGTCAATCGTGTGGTCTCTTGCACGGCAGTGTTATGCGTGACGGTGATGTAAGGCAAGATCTGATCCCATGTAGTGTGCTGTATGTCGATGTACAGTGCAATAATGTGTGTGAGCATCTTATTCAGTGGCTCGGTAAGCCCAATGGTTCGCGGATGGCACGTGGTTGTCTTTCGGTGTCTGGTGTTGCTTAGTTCAAAAGCTTGTTGTTATGCTAGAAGGTGCACCGTGCCACCTGCATGTAGTGAGTCGAGGGCAAGAGCGACATGTACGTGCCTTCGTAGTACAATATGTGCTGCGCTAACTTGAGTGACTTGGTAGAAACAGGATGAACAAGCAGTGGCGGAGATGCAGCAGGGCACTTCAAAGCTTCGCATAGGTTGTCTTACGGCGGTATTCTGTATGAGCTGGGGCAGCTGTATGGGGAAGCAAGGTGTCTAGGAGGGTTTGGTGCAGCTATTTCTTGACCACAGTTGCAATAGAGCTAAGCGTAAGATGAGGTGTTGGACTTGCCTTTTGCAGCTCCTCATGCACTGTAGAACGGATGAGTTTGCGTAGGCAGTCATTGCTGGTTCCAGTGACGGTGAAAGCGTCAGCGGTGAACGTGCTACTGACTTGCCTCTTGTATAGGTTGGACCGCTGCTGCAGCATTTTTTCGATCGTCACGGCCTCGGACAAAAACTCTGCGGCCGCCTTTAGAGGGCTCCACTTGAGGCCGGAAAAAAGCTGTTCTCTTACGCCGTGCATCAGATGACACAGCTTCTTGTCCTTCACCATTTCGGGCCAGCTCGCCTGAAGAGGCGCGACATGTCTTCAACGTATATAGTCACGGTTTCATTTGGCAACCGGACACGGGCCTGAATCGCTCGTTCCGCTCATTTCTGACGATCAGCGTTGGTGTAGGTCTCTAGAAGCTTATGACATAATGCGCGGCACGATGTCAGTAGCGCCTCGCGGTTCTGATACCACGTACGCACCCCATCCTCTAGGTAGTAGTGCTTGTCCAAGTTTTGCCCCGTCATCCCACTGGTTCAAGGCGGCTACTCGCTTGAAGTGCCTCAACCAATTTTGGACGTCCTTGCGCTCCATGTCATGAAACACTCTTGATACCCACGGACTCTCGAATATACGCCGGTTTGACATCATGCTTGCTGTGCCGGTTGAAGCAGTTTGCAAAGAAGTGGTAGGCATACCTGTCGAAGTGGTGGGAAGTATGTTGCGAATTCCCGGAGGCATTTTTTTTTATTGGTCAGCTAGCCCGATGCACGGGAGTGTTGACTGGCACTGGGCTTGTACGGCGGCTCTCTGGAGGTGTATGCAGCATCCGTGAGGGCTACCCAGCACCTCCACCAGTTTGGCATGAGCCTTCAGAAGTGGAGGTTTTTTTTTTCAATTACGATGGTGCAGCCATCTCCCGAAAAACACGATGGTTGGTTGGTTCCTCAATATCCTGGCACAACCCACTCTGGGAGGCTCTGATCATAGGTAATTCATGGGACTTGGCTGGCTCTCAAGCAAAGAAGTGTGCTATCGTCTTCTTTTTCTGGGCGAGAGTCATTCTTGCCTTCAAGCCACTACGTGCAGGTTGAAATATGGAAAAAAAGCCAAGCAATTAAACTGAATTTTGTCGTAAGCTGTTGATATATAGGTTGTTCCAAGATACAAACACAGGCCAATAGACCACGGCTTCAGTGTGTCAGTATGGCACTGTTATAGCTTGCCTTTTATGTGAGGCACATTATGCTTGGGCTCTTGGAAAGTACGTCACCACTGCAATATCCAAAGTTTTTTGCTTGCACTGTGAACCCATGATGTCATAGCCGTGCCAATTGCACCAAACAGCGCCAATAGGTGTAATGTGCTACATCTTGCTACATTTCTGCAAAAATGTCATTTGCACCAAGTGTGCACGAAGAAGTCATTCTTGCTGCCTTGCGAAAAAAAAAAAAACTGAACCAACTTGCAAACTATACAAAATTCAGCACTATGATAATTTAAAGTGATCATTGGAGCATTCTGGCGAGTGCTATGTGGCTAAAATAGTTGCTTGGTGCAACCCTGTTAAATAATTCAGATTGGCCTATTCTGCGAGATCACATTATTAAGTCTAATAGAGCAGCCTCTAACTTTTGTAGACCAATATATTTATTTGATATCATGAACTACTGTGGCCGTTACGTGTATGCAGTTGTGTAGAGAATTTCGTTATACTTTGTTTCAAAATCAAATTATTTCAGTTGCTGTAATATGCACATAAACAGAACGACCTTAAATGTAGTACAGGCTTCTTGATTTTCAAGCGTTATTTTATACGGTCACTAGAATTTTTTAAGAGTTCTACAAACTGCAGTGGACTGTGTTATTTTGTAGAAAAAGCATGATGGGGGGGGGGGGGGGGGCAGGATACTGTCGCATGTGAAAAAGAGGGACTTGCATCTGTAGTTTGTTGTTGCGTGATATGCAGGCATGCCAACTGTCGAGCTTCTTCGGCATACTGAGTAAGGTGTTCAGCGTCAGGTGTGAGCGATCCGTTGTAATCGTGTGGCAACATAGCGTCTAGCATGGGCCGGACCTCGCGCCCCTAGACAAGACGGAACGGGGTGAATTGTCATTTTTTGAATGGCAGTGTTATACGCCAATGTTATGTATGGGAGGACCTGATCCCACGTCTTGTGCTGAACGTTCACATACATAGGTAACATATCGGCGATGGTCTTGTTAAGTTGCTCTGTCAAGCAGTTAGTTTGCGGGTCATACGCCGTCATTTTGCGATGGCTCGTGAAGCATAGTTTGAATATATCGTCAATGAGCTGAGCCGTGAAAGCTGTTTCGCGATCAGTGATCACGCAAGATGGAGCGCCATGGCGAAGAACAATCTGGTCGACGAAAAACTGGGCAACATCGGAAGCTGAAGCTCATTGGAGGGCTCTTATCCTGGAATATCTCGCTTGATAATCTGTCGTTACAACTATCTACTTGTTACCAGCAGATGACAGAGCAAAGGGCCCCAGTAAATCCATTCCTACTTCATCGAACGGAGTCCTTGGTGGTGTGATTGGTTGGAGCAGGCCTGTGGGCTTCAGTGGTGGAGATTTGCGACGTTGACATTCACAGCAGCTTTTCACACATCGTTTGATGTACGTAGCAAGTTTCGGGCAGTAGTATGTCTGTTGAACTCTGGCGAGAGTTTGTGAAGAACTTAGAGGACCAGATGTGGGCTGGTCTTGGCAGGCCAGAAGAGTGTTGTCTCGCATATCGGAAGGGACCACTAGCAGGTAGGCTTTCCCACTGCCGTTCGAGTTTGTTTTGTGCAAGACACTGTTTCGTAGGCAGAACGAAGAGAGATTGCGAGAAAAGTGTTAAGGTTCGGGTGTGTTGCGTCGTTCTAGATTGTCAACGATTGCGTGAATCTGGACGTAATCGTGTTGTCATGTGATCAAGTCTGTTGCAGTGAGCACTCTGAGGAAGGCGCCGTCATCCTCATTGTTGGGATCACAAACTGCAGTAGGTGCATGGGACAAGGAATCAGCATCTTCGTGCTTGTGGTCTGATTTATAGACGAGGGTAAGGTCAAATTCTTGCAAACAAAGACTTCATCTTGCCAGACGCCCACATGGGTCTCGCAAATTGGCTAACCAGAACAATGAATAATGATCACTCACTACTTTAATGTGACGACCGTAGAGGTAAGGCCTGAATTTCATGGTGGCCCACACTACTGCTAGGCACTCCTTCTCCGAGGCGAATACTTCATCTCGGCGCAAGACCGGGTACGGCTGGCGAAAGCTATTACGTGCTCGGTGCCTTCTTGATGTTAGACGAGCACGGCACCGAGACCTACATTGCTCGCATCGGTATGAACTTCGGTGGCAGCATCCTCATCGAAGTGAGCAAGAACTGGTGGTGCCTGCATTCGCTCACGTAGATCGATAAAAGCCGCGTTCTGTTCTTAATTTCAAACGAATGGTACGTTGTCACGTGTGAGACAGGTCAGCTCTACAATTCTAGAAAAATTGGCGATGATAGTAGGCGCACAGGCCGAGAATGCGGCGTACCACCTTCTTGTCACGGGGAACGAGAAAGGAGGTCAGGTCGAACACCGTCTGCGCGCACAACATGGCCCACGAATTTAAGTTCTTTATAGTCGAAGTGGCATTTTTCTGGCTTTACCGTCACGTTCGCAGAGCAGAACGCTTCCAGAACAGCCTGCAGACGCTTCAAGTGTTCCTCGAAGGTAACCAAAATCACATCATCGAAATAATTTAGGCAAGTGTTCCTCTTCAGACCAATAAGAACAGTGTCCATCATTCCTTGGAAGGCCGATGGTGCAGAACACAGGCCGCAGGGGGGCACATTGAATTCATACAGACCATCCGGTGTAACAAAAGCAGTTTTCTTTTTTCAGTCTCTTTCATCAACCTCAATATGCCAGTATCCGCTTTTCAAGTCAATGGATGAAAAATACCTTGCCAGCCATAGCCTGTCTAGTGAATCATCGATGCGTGGCAGAAGATACCTGTCTTTTTTAGTCAGCGCTGTTCAGTTTTCAGTAGTCCATGCAGAAACGCAACGCTCTGTCCTTTTTTTTTTACATGAACGACTGGCGATGACCATAGGCTATTGCTGGGCTGTATATCATTATCTTGAAGCATTTCTTCAACTTGAGTATTGATGGCGTCATGTTCTTCAGCCGAAACTCGGTAGGGTTGTTGCTTTATGGGCTAGAGGTGTGTGTAATAATACGATGTTTCGCGAGGGGCGTTTGACGCACCTTCGAGGACGAAGCGAAACACTCTTGGAATTCAAGCAACAGTTTCAGCAGCGCTGCGCGTTCTTGCTGCGAGAGGCCTGAATTCATGTCCACCTTTGCAAGAGCCATAGAAACGCCTGTCGATGTCGATTGTAGCCCGCTGTTCATTGATGTGGCGGCAAAACATTCAGCAACGTCGTCGATTGGGTAGGTGAAAGTGATAGCGGTGCGACGAAAAAGGTGCTGCTGCTCATCACTAAACTTTGTCACAAGCAGCGTGGCACGTCTGTCGTGAAGAGTAATGCGGCTGCGGGCCGCACAGACACCTGTGCTGAACAAAAGTGTCAAGTTGCCTTCGGTGACTGCGTCACCGTCACAAAGCTCGTCTCACACATCAACCAGGACACTAGAATATGGGGCCAATGTGATTATGTCGGCCGAAACATGAAACGTGCCGATATGCCTGTCATTAGGTTTTTCTGCTGCTTTGACTGTCGAGAACATCACGGTGCTCTGTCGG